GTATTTAAATATTATATTAAATTTAGAGTTTATATTTGTTTTTTTTTATGTATACATCGTAAAAACTGAGGCTATCTTTTAATCATTAAACAAATATTTCTGTGATAATTATGCATTATTGTTTATTAAAACAGATAAAAGAAGGCTATTAAAATGATACCATTAAATATTCATAGATATCAATTATATAAGTATATAAAGAGAAAGTGGTAAAAAGCGAGATACAAAACGCCAAACATAAAGTTTAATTAAAATGTTTTCCAAACATGTGGGCCTATAAGCTAGCAAATCGAAGCTATAGGGCTGGTAAGTAGGTAACCAGCGGCTCAATAGAACCTGTATGAGCCATAGATCTGGTTGGTGACCTACTTACCAGCCCTACACAGACAGATTTACATAGTTCTAGTGGAATTATAAAGTTGGAGTGTAATCATTGGTTAACTATAGCGCAGATGAAATAAAAATGATCCATTTTTGAGAACTTAGATTTTTAAAATTGTGTGTAAGTTTTGTTCCTAGTTTCATTGATATTCCCTATTCTGTAAATTTGGAACGGCACTAAGGCATTTGACAACTTGCTGTTTCTATTTATATAAATAATTAGCTCTTGCAATATTTTAGGCATACATTTAATAACTATATTTTTCTTCTGTTTTTTCTTTTAGCCATTCAGCATAGATACAAAGTATGTCTGAGATTAATTTTGAACAATCAACATCAAATGAAACTTTGGTGAACTTTTTTTCCACTTTTTATTGTGAGGTTTCATATTCTGTGCTTTTGGCGGAAAATCTGGTCGTTAATTATATTTTGCTTCCAATTGTTGGAGTTTTTAGTATTCTAGGAAACTCTGCAACCATTATTATTCTGATTCACAATGGATTAAACGAGACCACAAACATTCTTTTAACGGCCCTAGCTGTTACAGATATGTTTTTTTCAATGACTCAGATCTGGAATCAATTACCTTACATTGTTAGTACTGTTGATTACAGATTAGGATTAAATATTTATGCTTATTACATAGCAATTGGTCAAGGATGGAACCAGTGGGCAGTCTGTGTAAGCTCCCACATGGTGACGTTAATCGCTGTAGAGAGGATGATAGCTGTGTGTTTTCCGTTTTTTGCGTCATCAGTTCTAACACCCTATAGGATAAAATGTATTGTTATCACGATATTTGTATGTGATGGAATATTTTACATTCCACGAGCTTTTTCCACATATATAAAATTGGACTTTTACAGCCCAGTTAACGACTCAATTCCTATAGCTTATAATAGCGACTTTTCTTACACAAATGGATATATTATTTATTTCCAAAGTTTCATAGCTGTTGCAATATTTATTCCAACATGTTTAATAATAATGTGCACATTTTTGATCATAATAAGGCTAACAATATCTTACAAAAGTATGAAGAAAGTAACTTCTTTAGAGACAAGAAATAAGAGAATCAAAGATGTCAGGTCTATTAAAATAACATTAACAATATGTGTATGTGTAGTAATTCCTGTTTTAATTCCAACAAATATACTTAACTTCACATTGGCTGATAAACAACTATTTTCATTGTATTGTGCGCTGTTTACACAATACTTAATCATTTTAGTTTACCAGCTGAATGCGTCAGTTAATTTCATTATCTACGTAATATTTAGTCCAAAGTTTGCAAATGCTTACAAACATTTGTTTTTATGTGACTCAAGAAAAAAAAATACATAATTAGCACAAGTAAAGGTGCTTCACATTTTTTTAAAAATTGTTTGTTTTCTTGCTTTAAAAATGTGTAATCATATTTGATTTACGCATGCTTTATTACTCGTTGCTTTATTTTAAAGACTGTGTAAGTATTTAACTGTTTACAGTCAGATTACTGCGTTGTAAATAAGCAACTACATTTCTGATGTTCATACGCAAGAAATTCAATTTGAATTTGCAAATTGAATGTATTTACACTAATAATTTTTTTCTAATTACATGAACTAGCATTCTTCTTGATGTCCATTAACACAGCTTGTAGTAGTGTAATATCACTATCTTGATTCTGGAAAATCAAGTTAAATATTATATTCTTAATATAATTTTCTGTAGGGAACAAAGCAGTTATACTACAATGTAAAAAAAAAATAGATTTACTGCTATTTTTTGTTACTAAAACAATATGCAGTTCTTGATCTAAATCATGTATGTCGTATCAAAAAAAATATACAAGCTCGATCTCAATTTCTGTTTGGATTATCTAAAAATAGATGCTAATTGCATCATTCGCAAAGTGACGAACCTGTTTGGATTTTTTACGGACAAAAAGAAACATCCCAGTTAATAATCTTACCTTGGTTAATTTTTCTGATTATTAAAATAAAACGTATTACATGGCCCTAAGCGACCCATGTGAGCCTTTGGGGGCCGAAACAGACAATTTTATTTGCAGCCTAATCGCACCTTACCAGGGCGCCAGAGGACACGCTTGATTCAATTTAGTAAGCGTTTGTAACGCCCCATCCTATCCATTGTCTATCAACCTGTTTAGACCGAACGTATTCACCATAGCGCTCACGGGAAAGACCAGGGCGCTAAATCGCATAATGCCGGGGGGCCGCCCATGCAAAATTAAATTTCTCCGCCCACACCACCCACCCACCCTTATTCCCTCCTCCCACCCCAGAAACCTTCTCAGGAGTATTCATCAACTCCCTAAAATGTTATGGCACCGGGATAAATTGTGTCGAACCGCAATAGTCTTTTATTTTTAAATACCGTATATTAAGAAAAATCCCACCATTCCGTGGCGGCGCCCTTGCGAAATTAAAATGATTTTTTTAGGGAACCCTTCCCTGGAGTGTTCTAATCAAGTCCCTAAAGTTTGATGGCTATCGGATGAACGTTGTGAGACCGCAATCGAATTTTATTTTTATATACCATATATACAGGGAAAACAAATTGCGCCCTGCCAGGGCGCCACCCCTGCAAATTTGAAAATGTTTTTAGCGCAAAAACCTCCCCAGGAATATGCTCAACATCCTCCCAAAGTGTCATGGCGATCGTGTGAACGGTGTCACAGCAATTCACTTTTATTATTTTTATATACCGTATAGGGAGAAAAAACGCACCCTCACGTGGCGCCGCTCTTGCGAAACTAAAATTTTTTTTTTTACAAAACCCTTCCCCAGAGTGTCCCAATCAACTCCCCCAAAGGCTCATGGCTGTCGGATAACGGTGTCAAACCAAAATCGACTTTTATTTATATATACCGTATCTAGAGAAAAATCGCACCCTCCCGTGGCGCCGCCCTTGCGAAATTAAAAATGATTTTTTACTGAGCCCTTTCCTGGAGTTTTATAATGAAATCCCCAAAGTTTCATGGCGATCGTGTGAACGGTGTCACGGCAATTCACTTTTATTATTTTTATATACGAGATATAGAGAAAAATCGTACCCTCCCGTGGCGCCGCCTATGTGAAAATTAATTTCTAACATAACCCTTCCCCAAAGTGTTCTAATGAACTCACCAAAATTTGATGGCGATCGGATAAATGGTGTCAAACCAAAATCGACTTTTACTTTTATATATCGTATATAGAGAAAAAAAACAAATCGCGCCCTGCCGGGGCGCCACCCCTGCGAATTTGTATTTTTTTTTTCGCAGAAACCTCCCCAGGAATATTCTTAACAACTTCCCAAAGTTCAACGGCGATGTGATAAGAGGTGTGGTAATGCATAAAAGACACACACACATTGTTTTATATATATATATATAGATTTATCATGATTTTTTTTTTTGTTAGCCAAAAATTCGATGGCGATCGGATAAATGGTGTCAAACCAAAATCGACTTTTACTTTTATATATCGTATATAGAGAAAAAAAACAAATCGCGCCCTGCCGGGGCGCCACCCCTGCGAATTTGTATTTTTTTTTTCGCAGAAACCTCCCCAGGAATATTCTTAACAACTTCCCAAAGTTCAACGGCGATGTGATAAGAGGTGTGGTAATGCATAAAAGACACACACACATTGTTTTATATATATATATATATATATAGATTTATCATGGTTTTTTTTTTTTTGTTAGCCAAACTTTTGTATTGCGTTTATTTTAATATACTAAACTAATGTATGTTTCAAACTAAATTTTATTTGCAGCCATTTTCTTTATAATGTACTGTTTACTCTGTTTTAACATGATTCAACTATTTTTAAATTTAATGGTATAAATTTCAAAGGAGACATATCTATTTTAATTTTGTGTAATATTTAATAATTAGTTTCCTGCTGTTTAGGTAATTTCAATTCTAGTTTAGTCATTTTTTAAAGCTCAAAAGTACTTCACTTAGAAATACATGAGACTATCTCAAGTAAGGTAATTTAGTTTGACAAGCAACTCAAAACATTACAGAGCTTTGATTTGTTTAAAATTTTTAGATAAACTATATTCAGACATGAAAACTGTAAATTCATTAGAATAGTATGTAAATACGCAATTAATCTACATTATTCGTCATACATCATTAAAACTATCAGTTGTTTTCACTTAATTGATCACAAGTGTTCGTAAATTATGCTAGGATATATTATGATACAAGTTTGTGTAAGTAGTGTAACATTCATTTGATGGTTGCTCTTATATTTAGTTTACGGTTTTTTTTTTTAATTTGCTTAACACAAGAAAGTATGAGTTTTGAGGTTGATTTTTGTAGTTTGATATATATCTTTAAAATAAATGGAGTTTTTTTATGTATTTCTAATCAATGTAACAACAATGTAGCTATTAAATTCAATGAGATGTGTATATAAAATAAGTTGTTTATTTAATTGTGGGTGACTTGTCCTTTATCATAAATCCCTAAAATTCACCACTTATAAAAGAATGTTTATAAGCAACCGATTTTTTATGTATTTTAATTGTTATAAACTTCTCCTAATAAAATATGACTTCAATTTCAATATGAAAAAAGTTGGAACATGGTTAAATACAAAACAAATAATAGAGCCTTTATTTTGTAATTCATAAATTGGTTTACTCAATGATTATAAAAACAGACATATTTGAGCAAAGCAACTCTAATTTGAAAACAACTTAATAACTACAATTAAAAATAGAATAAAACTTCCTACATTATTTTTCACGCCTATTTCTTCAAGGCGACCTCCAAATCTTAACTTCTGAGCATGTAGTTAATACCTACATGACTCATGTACATTCAAACAGCTGTGACGATTACCAGCAATTGATCACATAGAGCAGGGGTCTCCAAACTACGGCCCGCGGGCCGGATGCGGCCCCCGAGGTCATCTCATCCGGCCCGCAGAGTCTTTTTGTCCTCGGAAAAAATGTTTGTTGTAGTGGCTGAGGAACTTTGCCCAGAAAATTCAAAACAATTTGAAAATGTAGCTTTGGGTGCAAATACTATTGCCGGCCGTGTTGCAGACATTGGTGAAAACATTGTGGCTCAAATAGCAAGTTTCGCCATTTTTGAAAATTCTAATGGATTATTCGCTGGACAGCTGTTCCACCTCACAACTGCTTGTGTTCATTAGAGGTGTGGATGAAGACCTAAACATAACACAAGAGCTGGCTTCCCTACATAACATGTATGGCACTGTTACCTGAGAGGTTATATTCAATGAGTTAAAAACATTTGCTGATTATAACTAGGAATGGACTAATTTACTTGACAATTGATGGAGGAAAGTACATGAGTGGCATATAAAGAAATGGTTGGTTGGACAAGCGAATGAGAAAAACATACTGTACTGCAACCAATGTTCCTGCACTGTATTATTCGCCACCAAGCATTGTGTGCTAAATATATGGACACTAGCTGTGTACTAAATCCTGTGGTGAAGATGGTGAATTTAATGGGCTCAACCATAGGTAGTTCAGAGACATGTTGAAAGATGCAAACGCAGGATCGCAAGATTTACCATATTACACAGGAGTAAAATAGCTAAGTTGTGGGAAAGTTTTGTGCAAAGTAAAGGCGAACCGCGGCCATTAATGTCTGATGAAGAGTGGGTATAGAAATAGCCCTCTGCTGTAGACATAACTAGTCATTTAAATTTTCTGAACCTAAAACTACAAGAGAGGGAAATCTAGTTTCTGATCTATACGCCCACCTAAATGTCTTCAGATCCAATGTGGCCAGTTGCCCAGATGAGCTGAATTGCAAGCAGATGACCTCCTTAGAGACAAGTTCAATGAAGGGCAGGTGGGTTTTTATAAGATTTTGCCCAAGGAAGACTTTCAGAAAATTAAAACTTTTGCATTAAATTACCTTTCAAATTTTGGAACAACATAGGTCCTACCTGTGTGAACAAACGTTTTCAAGAATGAAATACCTGAAGAACAATATGAGAACAAACTTCGACCTCGAGTGTGTTGTCGGCCCCCGACAGTGTTTCTTTTAGACTTTTTTCTCCAGCGTGGACGACATTTGAAATGTGTATATATTTATATATGAATTTTATTTCGTTGGTGGGGGGGGTGGGGGTGGAGAAAGGGAAGATTTTCTTCGGGGAGGGGCGACCGGAAGAGATTTCTGAAAGAAACTCTGGCCCCCGAACTGATATTTGATAGTTAATGCGGCCCTCGGGCTGAAAAGTTTGGAGACCCCTGACATAGAGGATGCTAAATAAAGCTAAATTTTCTACATTTTTATAATCCTCCTCTAAAAAATTGGCTTCAGTTGTTTAATTTGTCCATAATTAATGCAAAATTAAAGGGAAAAAAAATTCATTTTTTTCTGTTAACAAAAAAGCTTTCATTTTTAAAAATTAAAAGTATTAGCACATGCTGTGCACACTGAAACAGTATGATCTTGACTGATTTAATTTTATGTGGTACACTTTATAGAGCTTTGGAGGTTTTCCTGACTGTCAAGTGGTTAGGAAACGTTGCAAGATTTTTATGCTGTGATTGTGGCAGGAACATCTGTTAATATGTATAATCATCTCAGTCCAGTATTTACTCCAATGTGGTCTGCAACACGTTCAACTGTATATGGCGTTCAGCGTGAGGCAAATGAACTTGTGGCAGTATTAAGTTGGAAGAATCTACAAATGTCATCATGCAGTTAACATTATATTATGTTATCTGCAATTGATACTATAATCTAGAATGTAAAAAAAATCACAGGCCACCTTTTTATGTACTTTCTTGCAGACTCTTGATTGAAGTTGAACTGTAAAAACAGAAATTTTCAAGTAGTCTTTGTAATACTTATCATCATTGCAACATTATGCATGTTAGTCCTTATTTCATTGTTGTTTGGAGCCAGATTTGTAGCTTACCAATATTGAATCCTTTCTAAAGAAATATTTTGACTCCACTGGTTTTATTTATTTAGGATCCTTGAATTCATCTGGTAATTAATTTTTCTCAATGTTCCTACTACATTTTTTTTTTTACACAAAATGTTACAGATCTCTGTGTCAGTAAAAAATAGTTACAGGTTAAGTTCTGCCATTTGCTGAAGAAAGGTTCACAAAGCTTCATAGCTGTATTGTGCCCCAGATGAAGAATGAGTCAAATTTTACCGAAGTTTGATTGAGCTGTGAGAGGATACATGGTCTCTACATCAACACTTCTGATAATTTTAAGCTGCTCATCAACTGTTACCAAAGGGCCAGAAACTTGTGCCATTTTCAAAGCTTTCACGAATTCTTTCCGAACATACTGTATAGAAGCAGAGGCATCACTGCTACCTCTTTCAGATCATGTTGTATTAAGGAGAAACTGCAATGAAGACAGTATCAAACTGTGAATGAAATAAGTTACACATTTGATACAGTGATAAGTGCTGTTGAACCTACATTAACAAATTTAAATTGTAATGCAAACAAAAACACTAGACAAGGGAGGCAAAGTGTGTTGGATATTATAAATGTAAAATTTGGGTTATCTCTCATCTTAGTCCACAGGGTAAGATAATATCCATTACTCTTGTTACTAAAAATTTAAAAATAAAATAAAAATAATCTTTCATGATTATCAAATCATTTTCCCTGTACCCTAATGGCTACATTTGATATAAAAATATATGTATCATGAGTTGTTTTTATGTTTCTTTTTAAATACTAGACTTAAATAAAATTTTAAAAAGCCTACTTCATTCAATTTACTTCAACTTCAAGTACTTTAACTTAAAATATTTTCTTGTAGTTTTAAAAAAATATTTTGAAAAAAAAAAGAGCAACAGACTTGAGTGTTAAAATAAGGTGTTTCTGTTTGGTTTCTTTAAAGCTTGACTCTTGTATGTTATTAGAGGCTATTAACTTACTCATACTACATAAAGTGCAGGTTTATCACTATAGTGTCAAATACAAACTTTGCATTGTTCTATTCACTGTAAGCTATTTAAAATAATTGTTCAAGTAAATTTAACCAAAGATTGGGTGTAAAGTTTGTTGGTAATGCAAAAAGTTCTTTTTGCTTTAAGCTGGTATATTCATGGCCTTTTCTTACTGAATGTTTAAGAAACATACATAAACCAATGAAGTTCTAAAGTAAACTTTGAATCATTTTGGACTAGCCAGTACAATGTCGAAAAATTGACAACTGCTAATTAAACAAACAATAAAAATGTATTTACTAAGGTAAGCAAATATTAATAAAAATATAAACCTGAAAATAAAAAAAAAATAAAAAAAACACAAGACCTCTAACATGTCACAATAAAAATTATTAACATAACTGAAGTCAGCGTATACCACTTATAATACTTATATCTACAATCGGATAAATATCACACACTTACTTGTCTCAAACTGTTATCCACATGTCTTCAATATGCAGTTTTACTTTTCTCACCAAACTATACTATAGTTTGAATGGCCAGAATGCAGGATAAAGATGACTAATGGCAATAGCCAAAGGTTTGTGAAAATTCTTTTCAACTGCAGTGCAAATAATGTCTTGGTCTGTGCTGTTGCAGATACACAGTACGTAAACAAATTCACGATATACCCTTCCTTAATATCCCACAAGCCACATGTTTTTAAGTGATACTTAGAAGACTTTGTGCCATTACTAGAATTACTAGTAGTGGTTGATGCAGACATAGTCGTTGGGCAAGGCTGACTCGGAGTATGGAAAAACAATTACACTTAAAAGCGGACGTCATATTGAGAGACATCATATTGAGAGGAAATATATTTCACTGACTGGTGTTATTGACTATAAAAATGAAATCAGATTGCCTTGGGGAACTAGTTATGGTCACGGATTATTTTTACACTTCCAGCAGACAGTACTTTCATCAAAAGTTTTGGACTTGATGCAGTGGTTTTGTGTAGGCTTTAGTTAGCCTCATGACCTGTAATAGAACAAAATAAAACACTATAAAAACTTTACACAACACTAATTATAACATGAAGTGAATAACATAAATGATAATTTATTAAAAAGTAAACTTGCTCCCTGAAAAAATGACTGGGTAATACTTATTTTGCATAAAAGGTAAATAGAAAACTCAACCTACTTAAATTCAATTACGAAATGGCTAGGTTTAGTAACAGTAATTGTTACAAGTAAAGTTATTTTTAGCTTTACTTCACTTGCCCCATAGACTGTCAGGTTTGAAAGGGGAACTTAACTTGCTTATAATTCACTTTACAATATTGATAACATTAGTAATACAACTACTAATTATAAAACTTATTGGCTATTTCTAGTATTGCTATTAGACTTAGGTTATATATAGGTAGCTTAAAAATAAGACTACCAGTAACAATCTTTTATATGCTGATGTTTTATAATTTTTAGAAACATAAATGCATCTAGTAGTTTCTGATGCATTTTCTAATCATAACTTACTAATGATGTGATTAGCTGTTTAAGTGGGTTTTTTCAATATACATTACACAGTAATGATTCAATTTAAATAGTTTTAACAGCTTCTTGATTATTGATATACTACCCATCCTTCTTATTAGCCAAAGAATCCACCCATATCTACCAATCTATAAAAAGGATAGGAGCCCTTACCTAGACCACACATTGTGTTCCCCGTAAGTTTGAGGTTGCTTTTTGAAAAGGTGCCGTTCTTCCAGCAAGGAGAGTTATCACAACAGTTTGGGCCATATATCAGGTGCCTTAAAACTAATGCATGGCCTTCAGTATCTTCACCTGAAAATACATATCACATGTTTTAGTCAAAATGTTGATGCTTCATCAAGCCAAAAAAAGTAATGCACCTATTCCAAGTTGGCTGTCATTTCATGTAACAGTAACATTTATAGCCAGCAGGTCAAGAGAAAAGTGGTTTTCCATACTGTTAAACTTTAAAAAAAAAACAACCTATAAAGATGTAAGTTTATGTTATTGATTGCAGCATAAATTAGCACTCACAGCTAATGTCAAGAGACTAGCAGTTTACTTTATTGTGATATACATAATGCAAAAATTGTAGTTAAGGGTTCCCTTAAGCATTATAATTATAAAATATGACAAGATCTGATTGCAATAATTGCATTATGTTTTCAATTACACTATTTCTAAAATAATCTATTAGGCATAATACTGAAAGTTAATCCAAAAGAATAATAAAGTAATTTACTAATTAAGATGGGTTCATGTTGATTAGCCTGCACTTAATCAACCTAGGACGATTTAGAATTTAGGTCCTAGATCATTGAAATAAGCTACTTGAAAGGTAAATAAATTGGATAAAAAAATCCAGTCTGCAGGCCCTAAACACATCATTTCATTATTATTATTTATGCTTTGAGTTGAGAAACTTTGCAATTAAAAATTGCCGGTTATTTCCCCCCCCCCCCCCCCCCAACTAAACATGGCCTAGGCCCTAACATGCTGCTGGCACTGCAGTTTACTAGACTAGAGTTTAGTGAAGTTTAGTAGTTGTCTACTATACTAGTCACTTGACTCCTAGACTAGACTCTAGACTTCAGACTTATACTTAATTATACTATTACTATAGTATAGTTACTATAGAATAGTCAGTATATTTGTATTATATTATTAGGCCATAAGGTCTATTTAAAATGTAAAATAAAGATGTATCTAAGCGGTCTTAAACATTATAAACCAAAGGTGGAAATTATTAATTGAACATTCATGTCATGTCATGTTTGCCTGTCGTCCCTACTGGGACATAGGCCGCTGACAAGAGCTTTCCAGACGTCTCTGTCCAGGGCTAGTCTCTCCAACTGTCATAAATTCTCCATCGGGAGATCCATTTTTCCCCTGGTCCGAGCTGTCTTTGTTTCTCTCTGTCTGCGTTTCTGTAGCGGGTAATTTGTTTTACGAGATAAGGTTGCTGACCTTATGCTCAACCCCCAACCTGGAGGACCAGGGTGCTAGCTTTCGTCTGACCCCTACCCGCGCAGACCTTCCCAGCTTGGTTGAACCTGCCAGGAGTTAACACTCCCGCTGGTATAGCTCTGGGGGTCGTCAGGGTACGCAAGCTGCCAAGCCACGACAAGGCCCTAGCACCAGATGACAGAATTGAACATTGGTTGATTCAATTCACCTAGTAGACTGTGTGGGATCCAATCTTATTAATATAAGAAATATCAGTTATAAATAATTTTACGAGTGTGTTCATTCTATTGTAACAAGCTGAATGTGTACACTGATAGTCTTCATTTATTTCATATTCCATTAGTTTATCTTGCTAAAAAATAAAACATACCCTTGTAAACAAAGGCCTATATTTATTTGCTTGATACCCACTCACACTCAAATAACGATTGTTTAAGGAGGGGGGGGGGACGACATCTGAGCTAAAGACCTTTGAGTCGGGTGCTAATTGAGTAAGAGTTGCTTTTGTTAAGTTAGTGTGTTTTGATTTTTTCGAATATTATATCTAAAAATTAAGTTGAAAGTATGGTTGATAAGTTTGCTATGTAATCCTGAGGTACCTTTTGCTTTTCTAAACGTGGTACGGAATTGAATCTGCCCTGTCCACAAATAAAGTCACTCTTTTTTTACACATATTATTCCCCTTCCCCATACATAGCTTATCCTCATTGTTGCCAGATGTTTTTCCAGACCCCATATCCCCAAGCTTTTGTAAAATATTATCGCAACTGTACAGTGTGGTCTAGTAGTATGTAGTACGCCCGCTAACTAAACTGATAAATCGGTATCCGGCCTGGTGATCGTAGGTCATCCCACGACCAAACTGTCCCTCACATTTAAAACCAGGGGGCAAGATGTCTATTTAAAACTGGAGGCCAAAGTCAGACAGAAACCCTCGTGTCTAGCGTCTGTCTACATAGCTGTGTGAAATGCTAGATTCTTGATAACGTTGCTGCTTGTTTCGCGCCAGTTATATTCAGTTCATCTAACGAAATCCAAAGGTTACCTCTTAACTAACATGCTTCCGATAAGTCAAAAACACTCATATATGTTGCACTGTCAGTACTGATCTGTCTCTGATATCGTTTACCTAAGAATTAGGAATGTTTATTTTGTTTTTACTCAGCCAGTTTCTTTTATTTTTACTATTACTTATTACGTTTGAGTTAAATAAACGATTTAGGCCTAATCAAGCCAGTGGTCTATTTTTATTTAAATAACTTTTAATAGACCACTTTTAAATTAAATAATTTATTAATATCTTGGTAGAGATACTCACTCTAATCTCTATGCAGTTGTAAATGCATTAAAAAAATACTTATTTGAAAATTATAATTGTGCGCCTACGCAGAGTTATTTCCCATTCGCCTTTTTTCTATACTCTTGACGTGACCAATTTTTGTTTTATTTTCCATAATTGTCCCCGCAATTTTTACCCTAAAACTAAACCATCACATCTAGAGAACCGTTCATCAAACATAAAGTTTAAAAATTGGTATCATTTTCATGATTTTGCAACATTTAGTCCCCTTAATACAACCCCGTCATTATTGTCATTTTTTTTTTATTTATTTAGGCTACAATTTTTAAAAATTGAGTGCAACTAGCTAAACTCCTAGATTCTACTAATTCTAGGTCTAGAACGGTAGAACCTAGATCTAGATTTCTAGATCTAGATCTAGAATTCTAGATTCGGGTAATCTATCGTTTTAGGTACGTAAAATCGCCCGCGACTAGTAATGTGAAAAACAGGTGACTCCTTACATTTTAATAATTATTTCACATTTTGAGGAGGATTTATGTTTTGAAAAATACAAAAATGTTTCCGTGTTTCATTTATGTACCTGTTTTTAAACAATTGAATTAAAACTTTTCAGTAATAAATGAACACCAGCGATGTTTCCAACAGATGCAAACATGCTCATTTACTATAGCAGCCATCTTGTTAAAGTTTTATTTTTATAGACTTATAGCGCGAGATTCAGGCGGAAGTCACTCTATTTTAAAATGGTTGCTGTTTATATAGCAAATCTTGCTTGCAGACACTGCTGTTTACAGTTAATTTCTGGCCTATATTAATATATTTAGCCATTGATTTAGGTTTATTATTCATTTATCTATAATATTTGACACAAACATATCACAATATACTTCTATTACAGCCTTGACAATGAGGTAACGTTTTCGTACATTAATAGCCGCGGGCGATTTTACGTACCCAAAACGATAGATTACCTAGATTCGTCCTACTTCCTAGAATCCTAGATCTAGATCTAGATTCTAGATGCTACCTTTTTACAATTCGTTTTAATTTTTTTTTTAGTTCTAGATCTAATCTAGATCTAGATCTAGACTAGTTTAGATTCTAGAACTTGAGTTAAACCAAAAAACGTAATCTAGATCTCTAGGCCTAATGGTTTACCAGTAGTTTTCAGTAATGAAAATGTCGATCTCATTATTTTTAGATTTTGTTTAAATTTGTTACCTTAGCTTGCCAGATACAGATTTCATGATTATGTCAAAAATCCATGCCAAAAAAAATAATATAAAAGTTGTAAACGTATTTTATTCTACTGCACAGATAATTAACTTAGTAAATAGGTCCAATCGATGCATGCATTTAGTATTGAACCATTCTTACATAGCTCATCCATTCGAATTCAAGGTCTTGAATAAACAGAGAAACTATTACACATAGACTACCAGAGTTTCTTCCAGGCATCTCTTTGGGAAGGGGTGGGGCGAAATGGAATTTATATCGAAAATATATACTTTTAACAGTGTCCAAAAAGAAAATTTCAAGTGCCCCCCCCCCCCGGAGAAAAAGTCTGAAAGAAACACTGTAGACTGTAGACTACGTTTATTTAGCAATATAGATGGCTGTCTTTTTTTTTATTTAAGTCTATGAATTTTCCAAGAGGCCTTTAAAATAATTGTGTTAAAAAAACCCGATCAATAGCTAATTGCAATTTGCGATCTCTAAAGTATATTTATCTCAGTAGCGTACGCAGGGGGGGGGGGGGGGGAGCAGGGGGAGCGGCCGCTCCCCCTATGGCCATTTTCAGCAAAGTGGCGCCTTTTTGGAAACTTTTTAAACTCAAATTTTTAAACAATGATATTTGTTAAAAAAATATTTTTGGTCGGCACATCTATGTAAATCACAAGATTTCTTTTCATGCAGCAATTAAGCATTATTGTGTTAGTCTAGTAGTGTCTACGTTTACAACGCGTATTAACAGCTGCATCAGTTTGCTATTCTAAAAATAACCATTACGATGCATTGCAATGTTTAAAAAACCTCTACGGGTAGTACCACATGGCAAGAGGGGTGTTAAGTTTAAGGCAACTGCATAATGTATTTGCTTACGAATAATTGAATTAGAAAATGTTATACATAAAACTTCACACATAATTACTTTATATATACAGTTTGAATCGTGTGATTAATTTTTTTTAAAATTACAATACAGAAACAAATACAACTGATGTGGCACCTCTATTTAAATTTACTGATGAGCAAACTGCGTAGTGGTGGGGAAATTTTGACAAGTTCAACAACGTCAACACTATGAAGTAGTAGAATTCTTACAGTTTGGGCGATAGTGATTACGATTACAAATTAAATGAAACAGTTACAACCCCCCTCCCCCATGGACCCCTCTGTAAAAAAAATATTGTCATAATACCACTGCTACTTATTTAAAACTATTTCTGTAATATATATTTGTGTAATATATATTTGTGTAATATACATGTATGTTTAGAACAGTCATCTAAAAACTGACTCTATGTTCACTCTGAGTTGGTTATCTTCCCCCCCCCCCCCCCCCACACCTCACCACAACAATTGTGTAGAGCGACATTAATGTCACACCTAGGTATACACTGGGTTGGATAATTGAACTAAAGTGACCGGACAGTGGTGAATGAAGTTGAACCCACACCCCCCCCCCCCCAACCCACCCCGAACTGATCTGTTAAGTATATGTAGAAAATCGCGTAGTGATGTACCAAAGTACCATGCCGCGTAAAACTCTGTGAATATTGTTTTTGCAATTACCAGTAAAAAGGTGTGTGATCAATACAGTGATCTAACCCATAGCTATCACTATGTTAAAAAATGATCTTTAAAGATCACAAAGAAGCAGTAGTTAATTAAAATATATGATCTGAACTAAAAGACGGAAATTTAGTTAAACGTAGGCTTTTATTCCAAATGTTTTCTATAATATCGAAAATCATGGTTTTATACCAACTCTGATTTTAAAAACTTTCATTATGCTGTAATCTTTTAGCATTTATGATGACGATCTATAAAATTATGATTATAGATTATAGACAAAAACATTTTGTAAACAAGAATAGTGTTAAGCAATTTGATTATATTCTAAAGTAATTATTTATTTGTTTTGACATTTATAATTAAATGTGTAGATATATACATATTTATATTAGGAGAGTGATTATTTCCCCTATTTCACTTGTCTTAAATAATTTCCCAGTAATTATTATGTAAGAAATTTGTTTACAAGAATTACAAAACAGATTGTGTTACGTTCATTGTTTTTGGTTGTAGTGTGTGTAGATTTTTGTTGTTGTTTTTGTTCTAGATTGATACAATTTTTGTTTTGTCGGCCTACATTGTGTTTTTTTTCTTATTTCTTCAGAGTGCTACTTTCAATTTATTTTACATCATAGCGAAGTAAGGACATACAGCTAGTAATTATATATATATATATATATATATATATATATATATATATATATATATATATATATATATAATATATAAAGCTCAATTCTGTATGTAACACATATGTTTGTCGTGGATCTTCGATGGATTTAAGTGTTAGATAATTAAAGTCCTTATGGTCTAAATTTATGAGTTAAAAAGTTAATATTGAAAGTTTTGGGGAATAATTTTCATTTATCAAACTGAAAGTAATAATTTTCGGCATGTTCATTAAACACAAGTTTTAAAAAAATATCATCTTTTACAAAAATTCTAATTATGTCTTTATTTAGTCCTATAGCACTTACTTCCCTTTGATAAATTAGGAAAACACAATTACTTCCCTTTATAAAACCATTGCATTAGTGGAAAAGAATTTACTTTTTATTACTTTGTTTTGGTGTTGGAAAAAAAATAATTACATAATTAGCGGGGATTGATCAAGTGCAAATGTTGTATGTATTTTACGGATAAGCTTGGAGTATTATAATTGTTCATTAAATTAAAACAGGCGCGTTCGTTTAAGTGAGTGCAAAAGACTATGAATAAGTTGGGGTACTATAGTCGTTTATTAAGCTAAAACAGGCGATTCCGCCCCGGGCTAGACTGTGAGCACTTTGCGTTTATGTTCGCGTTAGTGTTTTCTTTGTGTTTAGGTTGGGTTTGCGTTAGTGGTTGCGGTTTGATTTGGTTAGTTTTTGTTCTCTCTTTTTTCGTTTTTGTTTGTGTTTTTTTTTTTGGGTTTGTATTTGTGTTTTTGGTTGGTTTTGCGTTTGGATTTGGTTTGTCTTCGTTTGCTTTTTCGTTTTTTTTGTGTTGTTATTGGTTGGTAATGGTGTTTGTGGTTGTGGTTGGGTTTGTTGTTAGGTTTTTGTTTTCGTTTGCTTTTTTGTTTGTTTTTTCTTTGTGTTTGTATTGCTGTTTGTGGTTGTGGTTGTGGTTGGGTTTGTTGTTAGGTTTTTGTTTTCGTTTGTATTTGTAATTGTGTTAGCGTTATGTTTGCGTTTTGTTGTTTTGGTTTTGGTTGGTTGTGGTTTGGGTGGGCAATGCCGAGTTTATGATGATTACTAAACACACAGGTAATGGTCTTTAACAGAAAGTTTTTCACAGAAGCCAGAGCAGGGCCTGGCCGGGACGGCTAGTATATATATATATATATATATATATATATATATATATATATATATATATATATATATATAGAGAGAGAGAGAGAGAGAGAGAGATATAGAGATATATATATAATACACGTATATAGAACGCGTTAAAAAATCGGCGCCTTTTTTTGCTCTTTTCGCTCCCCCTACAACGAAAACCTGGATACGCCTCTGATTTATCTACCCCTTCTTAGTTCGTGGAAGAGGGCCGGCAAACAAAAGTCACTCAGACGCGAGAAACACTTCAAGTTTGTAAACGAGCTGATCGAGTAATCTCTCTCGATTTGTTGCTAAATTACTCTTTTATAATTAAATTTTAACATATTACACATAGCCTTTCATTAGGTCTATATCCAACCTGGTTAACCTTTGCCCATATCAGCAACTGAGCTGTCCTGGCCACCCGCAGCCTGGGGTTTTGAAAATGTGAATGCCGTGGACACAGTCGCAACTAACAAGAGTCAGCAGTCTCAGAGGTCACATGACATGGGAAACACGGGTGAACATTGCTCATGGAAGAGCACGCAAAAAATAACATCAACAATTGGGGTCCCACAGGGGTCGCAACCAAATACGATGTAAATTATCTCCCCTGACTGGTAACCCATGATATGTTACAAATTAAAGGGCATACAAATTTAAAGAAAAAGATAACCATGTTTTAACTTTATTGCTAAAGATAGTGAAGAAATTGGGCATTCGAAAAAGTGTTTTGTTATTTTTTTTTTAATTGTTGGTACCCTGAGATCACAGCACCGTGCGACAGCAGTGTTTCTTCCAGACTTTTCTCCGGGGGGGGGGGCCACTTGAATTTTTCTTTGGGGGGGGAGGTAGACTTTCTTCGGGAGGGGGGGGGGCGAGCCCCAAGCCCCTTCCCTCCCCCCGAAGAGATGCCGGAAGAAACTCTGTACGACAGATATGTTTGTTAAAGAGCTAGGACCTATTTATTAACACTGTGTTTGCGTAGTAAATAAAACTAATTTTCCTGCTTCTATATATTACGCATCTCTAAATAAATAAAACAGTTAAAATTAAATGTAATTTATTTCTAGATAAGCTGACTTCACTAGCTTCATTCTCGAATCATTCGTTATATCTCTTTCCTACACAAATACAGTTTGGCAGAGTATTTTAGGTAATTTCACACTTCAGAAAAAAGTTTTTAATTTTCATTTTCATCCTTTACGAACTACAACCCTACGACAGTTTTAGAATTTACCGTTACTATACCATTGCTAAATGTATACGGGAGGACATTGTCAAACAAAATAATGTTCAGCAATTCTCATCCAACGTGGGTTGTCATTAAAAAACACCTTTCATCTCTTCACTGTAACCAAACGACTTAGTCTGTTGTTGATGTTCTTTCTTTGTAAGCTCAAACTCTAGCCTGTAATACTTCAGATGCTTCAGCCATTCTTAGCTATATTAAAGTCGCTTGATCTATTTGCTTTTCTAAATAGAGTTAATCTCCATTGTCACTGTCTACACGTATAGAAACTGTTTCATAAACAACTTCAGTCACTGAAAAGAATAATCTTAATTTTGTGTCGTTTCTAAATAAGGTTTGCCATTTCGGACCTACATAA